AAATACAGAACAAAGACCCTTCCTGCCCCCAGGTCTTAGAATCAAAAGACATATTCACAAACACATCTTTGCAAAACGACTTTAGCAGTCCCACCCCATGCTATCCCCTCAGCTGACAGAACTGTTTGTAGCAATGCACAGAGAACCAGTTCAGGGAATCATATTTGAGTTAAACCAAAACAGTGACTTGATCTGAGTTAAAACTACCTTTCTTTCTTTTCCCTCCCCCTCCTCTTTTTTCTTTTTTTTTAAGAGTATACTTTTAATTTATCAATTTTCAGATTTTGTTCATTACCTGGTGCAACTGAGGTGACAGAACAGGGATACAGCTGCTGCCTAAAAGATTTTTAGCTTGATTTGCCAACATGGCCAAGAAAGAAATAGAGAGAGACCAAAGGAAGGACTCAAGAAGTTCCCAAGTTCCCACTGTGGTAGGAAATAGTTTATGCTTCCAAAACTCAAACCCTGATATTCCAAAATGCAAACATTTAAGATAAAGTATAAAGAAACTTCCACCAATTTTTGACTTATCGATTAGCATTTATCAAATGCAAGTCTGCATTAATAGCAGCTTTTATTTTGATGGCTGTGCTTATTCTCAGATCTTCCTCCTAGGCTGCAGGTAGGCTGTGTTAACACACTTCTGCAGCATGGGAGATACCAACATACAGATACAGAATTCTCTTTTTATTCAGATATTATTTCACAAGACTGAACTGTGTGATTTGGTGGGAAGATATTCAGTACAATGATCATTATTCAAGACATAGAGACTGTGTGCATGAACACCTCTTTATCTCTCATTTCACCAAATTTCAATAATGCTTTTATATATTGGCTCTTCCACTGCCAAGGCTTCCTGTTAATTCTGTTAATGCTTCCTGCATTTCTTCTTTGAAGTACTTTCAGTTTTCCTTTTGATTGTTGTGCCTGTACTTATTCAAATCTAGCCCACTTAACAAATTCCTTCTTGTGCTGGGTTTGTAACACACATGCTCTGCAAGGGGAATGAGATGCCCATTTGTTAGGAAAAACAAGCAAGATGTTTTCAAGATTTGTTACACATTGTGCCTAAAATAAGAAGGAGGGATGCAAAGCAAGAGCATAATTTACCATCTTTTTAAGTTAAACAAGGATTAAAGATTTGCATGTATTGTATGCTAAAACATGACAGCCACTCAAATGCACATTTCAAGACTTTATAAAGCCTGGCTTGCAGAACTTCAAAAGAAACTATAAGCACCACATGATTTGCTAAGTTTGGTCTTTCACACAGCATTGTAGACAACCTGGAGAGTACCTGGCACTCTGACAACATGATCAATCAGAATTACTTTGTCCATATTCTCAAACAAGCAGTTATTACTCCAAAAACCAAGACTCAGAAGTATAAAACATCTCCCAAGTACAGTATCACCTCTCTTCATACACCTAAAACAAAACCATCAGGGGTCCACTCTGCCTGTTCCTAAGAGAAAAGATACCTCAGTCAAGGGATGACAAGAAAACAAAGAACACACTTTTTGCCATGTCCCATCAGCAGCTTTCACTACGGACACTGCATAAATCTGATACAATGAAGAAAGCTCTATGGGTCAGCAGAATTTGTATATTGCTGCTGAAATGTCCAGAGAATTCAAATTAAGTACCTTAAATGATACAACACAAATGGAAAATGGCAACTTTATGGACCTTGTAATTCAGACAAATCCAGATTAGCTATCTTGGGAAATAGTTCACAATTTCCAAAGCTATCTTCCTATTAAATTTCATACTCTTTACCTATACCTTGGAGTTGATTAGGGGTACTTAAGAGTAATCAAGAATATTTTCAATATGATGAAAAACATTTTCAGCATGTCCCTCTCAAAAAAAAAAAAAAAAAAGCCTAAACTTTTGACTTGAAATTTAAAGTAAAATTCCTTATTTCCAACACTAAAAAAAGAAGAAACTGGAAAAATATGTTTGATGGGCCTGAGTTTAAATGCACAAGTGTCAACAAATGTAAGCACTAACCTTACTGGTGCTTCAGGTATGCACCTGTTTCCAGTCAACAGTGGAACTGGCTAACTTGCAGTACAACTACCAATATGTACACTTAATTCTTATTTTAATCATCATCTCTTTTTCTAGACAGACAATAAAATTCTTCTTTTTGGCTACCTGCATGTCCTGGTTTTGACTGGGTTAGTGTAGCTGTGTTTTGGATTCAGAATGAGAGGTACAGTCCTGTGTTTTGGATTTGGGATGAGAATAATGTTGCTGGATGGTTTGGCTATTGATAGGTAGTGGTTACCTCAAGTCCAGGGCTTTTGTGTGTCTCGTGCTCTGCTAATGATTAGCTGCACAAAAAGCTGAGAGGGAGCATGCCCAGGACAGGTGATATGAACTTGCCAAAGTGACATTCCACACCACGGAACATTATATAATATATAACTGGGGAAGCTACCCAGAAGGGGGGATGATGGCTCTTCAGGGATGGGCTAGGTATTAGTCAGCAGGTGGTAAGAAACTGTACTGCATGTTACTTGTCTGAGTTTTATTTTCCTCTCTCTCTATCCTCTTCATTACAATTACCATTAGTAGCATTATGTTTTCTTTCAATTATTATACTGCTTTTATGTCCACATGTAAGCTTCACATTTTTTTCTTAATTCACTCCCCATTCCACTGGGGCAAAACAAACTATGGTACTTAATAGTCAGCTGGGGTTAAACCATGACACAGAAAAAACTGTTTGCTGACATAGAAGAGTTTCTTAAATTAACATCATATCAAATATATTGATTCAGCTAATAGCCTTTTTGCTAAGATAATACTTATTTCACCTATGTATTAAAAATCAATACCTATAATAGCCAAATGTCTGTAAAGCAAGCTTAGCACAGATTGGTCTCCTTAATTTCTGCTGGCCAACAGAACCTGGAAGAAACCACAGTAGCAGAAACATCTAAAATTAGCCTGATCAAGTCTTACATGGTTCATCTTTCCTCTTTGGATACATACACAACAGAATACAAACTGCAGTACCAGAGAGGCTCCATCCAGATGGAGGTCAACACTCTTCAGGAGAGTGCAACAGGAGAGAATAAAAGCAGTGAAGCCTTGACTAGACCAAAGAGCAGGCCACTAGCCTCAGCAGCAGTATCATTACTAATAAACTCATAGAACAGATTGCTCAGAAAAGTGGTTGAGAAGTTTTCATCAGAGTCAAATAAAGTACAAAGTGACTCAGGATCCATGATCTGCTGAAGTCTGTGTGATACACTTTCAGACCTTCTCCTACTTCTAGATTCTCCACTCCAGTCCTACATAATTTCTTATAGACTCATAGCAGCATATGGGTTTTACAAGACCTTGTAGCTTATCTAGTCCAATGACCTGCCATAGGCAGCACCACCTTTCACAACACCAGTTTGTCAAAAACACCTGCCTGGCCTTCCACGTCCCACATGAGATGATGGGGCACCCACAGCCTCTCTGGACAACCTGCTCTCATGTCTCAGCATCTTTGCTGTAAAAATTTCTTCCTGATATTTAATCTAAACTTGCCTTCTTTCAGTTTAAAACTGCTGCCCTGTGTCCTATCACTACTACTTATGATAGCATTCATGTCAGTGAGCAAGCTAAAGCAATGAGAGAGAAGCATTCTAGCTCTGTATCAGCTTCTTTTCCTGGCTCACTATGCAGCCAGCTGGTCTTCTGCATGGCTTGGAGAGATGGGACAGGAAGCAGAGAGAGGTGCTGAGCACTCCAGCAACAGGAATCTAATGTGAACAGGATGTGAAACTGCACCCATGGCACTTTTTTTAACAGACTGGGTCTGTAGCTGGAGGTAAATAACCTTTGGTCCTAGTCTAATTCATAGAAGCAGTCAGACATAAAACAAAAAATCATTACCAAAACTAATGTACTAATAAGTAACTGACGATGAGCTGAGTAGAAAGGCAAGGATGATATAAAAGCAAACATTATCTTTTCACCTTCCAATAAAACTCAATCACATTACAAGAACAGTGTAAGGAATGCTGTGAGCAGTTAAATATTAAGTTCTCAAAGTCCACACAGCACATAAGACGCTGAAAAATAACCATGAAAAATAACAAATTTAAACCTATTAAATTGTACTCTGGGAATTCCACTCAGTAAAAATCTGCAAAACTGATCTACAGGCTAAGTATATATAGATGTACAATACTTGTAAAGAGAAAAAAATGTCCTTCTAAAGGACCAAATAAATTGACAGAGCAGTACTAAATTTCATAAGAGGATGTTTTCATGTCCATTTTTAACCAATTTGTTTCAGTAAGCTTGTAGAAAAAAAAATTTAAAAGATATCTATTCATTCTTTGTATGTATGCTTTACTTCAAAGAATTCCAGTAATCTATTGTAAATCTAAAAAACTCCTCAGTCACGACAGCACATTGTTCCCCAAAGGAACAGTGGGTCAGATTCAAAGTACAAGCAATACAGCTGTATTCAGGACTTTTTCTATTGAGCCTGGAATGGGCAAAACCTCCAGAGTCAGTGCTGAGTCTTCAAGGGAAAAAAAAAAAAATAAGGTTGTGAACTTAAAAGAAGAGATTCTAAAAGATAAATCCCCACTGAGTAATTATAAGGAGAAGCTCTCCCAAACATTTGCTAACTAGTACATAAAAGGCAATTCAGTAAAGACCATGGTCAAGTCAACTTGCAGATTTAAATATAGTCATAATTGGATACAATCACTGAAAAGGCAATCTCAAGAAGACAGACAGAATCCAGGCACTGGTGAGAAAACTCCAATAATTAAGGGAATTTCAGTAAGGCAGAGAGCAGTCTGAGTGTCGCTGTGTGTCTGAAATGACGATGCCCTTGTCTGCCTCCAGCTGCTCAGTACTGTTGGCCTGCTGGAAGTTTTCATCTTATTCCTACACCTACCCGCATCTGCTAACCTGCTGCAGACAAAAAGAGTCAGGTCAGTTTAAACACAATAAATATTACATCCATCCTAACCCACCATGTTCTGACAGAGGTGGTCTGGGTAGTGCCTAGACTAACACCAGTGGTGGCAGGCACATCAGACCTCCAGCTGACAGGCAGGCAGTAAGAACTGGCAGCGACTTCAGCAACAGCCATCACCTGGGGCCTCTATCTGGAGCTACCCTGTGAAGACCAATGCTCTTGTCAGCAAAGAATCTTTTTTTTTTCTTTTTAAAGAAAGTTAAATAATACCTGAAACACTCAGAACAACAGATTTCATCAGTTCCAAACCCAGAGGAGCATATAAAGACATTCTTTCTGTATTTTCACATTGACTGCACTCTGTGACACACCCCAAGCCACTATCTTCAATTGTTAAAATTTTAATTTCGCCTACACAAGAGCTTTTTCACTTTTTCCAATATAGTTACAAAATACCTAATTTTAACAACCTGTGGTTATTCTTTAACTAAGACACTATCATAATACTGCTTTGCAATTCCTAACACTTTTTCACCCCCTGCCTCCTTAAAGATTCCGAGAAAACACTAAGGGTTACTAAAAAGACACCACCTTTCTGCTGTATTACTTGTATTTCTTCTCCTTTGAAGGCAAATATTGTTAACACCCTGGTCCTCAGTGTCACCAAATCAGTGCTCAGTTAAGATCAAATTAGTTTGTAATTGCTGTTGCTTTTATACCACTTCCTTTGCCAATGATAGTACCTCCCGAAAAAGGTCTGCTACCTGCTCATTCAAACTTAACACTTTAGCCAAAAACTTCACAAAAAAAAAAAAACCCTGTAAAGTGGAAGACACGTTTTGTGAAGGCTTGACAAGCTGGCTTGCATGGTTCTGAGCTGCCTGGCTCTTGTAACACCACACTTAGAAGTTAGGTATCTGGAAGGAATGCAGTTCATTCTCTCATAAGCCTCAGTATCTATCTTTGAAAAAAAAAAATAAAGCAGAAAAAAAGAAGGCAACAGCTCCTCAAAAAGCAAAAACAGTGGACGTTGGAAAGGGACAAAACTCCTGTTTTAGAATTGCAAATTTTGTGTTTCCTCGGCGCCAAACCAAAACCAAATAAAAGTAACCATTTAAACTGGAAAATTATTTCCCTACATTTGGATAACTCAGAAATGGCAAATATTTCATGCACCTTTCTAGGCTGCCAGAACAACTACAAGAAACTTAAAGACTAAAAAGAAGTGTTCAATCCCACCTAATAAGAAGAGCAGTTCTTGGAATGAAAACTATCACTCAAGCCCAGCTATGTTATAAAGTCAGAAGAATAACCCTCAAATGACTTTTTATCATTTACGACTGCACAGGAAGCTTGCATTAGGCAGTGGAGAACAGGGCATGTCTCGTTTTGCAAAAGTAGCTGACAGCGCCAAAACCTGCAGCGATGACTGTAAGGATACATTCCGAAAAACAAGCCCCTTCGATTTCATGTAGAAAATTGAACATTGTAACTGTTATTCCCTGTTTCTGGTTCGTGTGACAGCCGTGGTATCGAGAAGCAGTTGCGAAGGTGCCAACACGTGGAGCGGCAGCAGGCACAGCGTAGCGCTCGGTAGAGCCTGGGGGCCGCTGCTGGGCGATGACACCGCGCCCATGTCCCCGCACCCCCGGTGACATGGGCACACAGGTACTTCTACACGCACGTGGGCAGCGCGGACAGCTCGGGAGCCCTGCCACAGGCGGCAGCCGCCGCCGCCCCGTCCGCTCCCGCCGCCGCTCTGGGCCTGACGCCAAGCACACGGGAGGCCCGCGGTCTTCATCCCGGTGCAGGGCTGCCAGAGG